TCAACACCTTTTTAAACAACCGCTCGCTGCGAAACGATCAGAAGAACTGTGTATAAAATGAGGTCGGAATCGTGGAAGTCGAGAGAAATTACGCAATAGGAAAAACCTACTCAGTGGGTTTTTCCTTGATTAGTTGTTTCATGAATAGAAAGGCAGTTTTTCGTAAGGAATGCGGCGAGAATAACTTTTTGCGGTCGGCGCGGGACGACTATATCTTACATCCTGCAGGATTTTATTTTTGTACCCATTGCCACTCAAGGGCATTTCCTGGTCGCGTCAAGCAAGACAGCTCTTCTGTTAATGATGATTTTTCTTCCCTCCTTCGATTAGATTTTCTGTCCAAGAACCACATTGAAAAGAAAGATTCTGAGCGTCCTTTCTTGATTTATTAATTTGTTTTATGCCTGATGTCTTTGCAGACTACCGCTACCCTGGATCCTCTGGAGCTCCGTTAATGCTGGCCTGCCTGTGCAGGTCAACTCGGAAGGCATGGCCTGTTCCATCATCCTCCTCTTCAGCATGCTCATGCTCGTGTTCCTCTCCATCGTGGCGTGCAAATGGCGCATGAACAAGGCCCTCGGCATCGTCATGTTCCTCCTCTACTTTGCCTTCGTCGCCGTGTCGCTGCTCTTCGAGTATGGCACCATCAAGTGCAACATCTAGAACCACCCGTATGGTCGTGGTTGGTTTCATCTCCTCCCCGTCACCTGTCCCAAGAGAGAAACAAGCTAAGCCGTCTGTCTGTCTGTCCACCCGTCCGTCCATCCATCTCCCAATGACAGCCGAGTACTAGTAGTCTCCATAGAGACCAGGGTGGTGACCAATAACACGAGGCAGAAGCAGCAGCAGCTAGAGAGAAGCAACAAACAAGAGGCACAACACAGGTGATGGACGAAAGCTTTGCAACAAGTGAAACAAGAACATTCCAGGGGACACGCACACGTATCTGGAACGCAGAACCGCTTTTTCAACTTTCTGGTCAAGAAGAAAGGAATAAGGAAAGACCGGAGGCTGTGTTATTCATCCAACAACAAATAAAAGGAATGGGACAAACAAACTAACTAACAGACCTCCAATGTACAATTATTTTGCGAGAACAGACGGCTCTGTTTTCTTTTTCTCTCTCGTCCCTCCACTGTTACAGTACGGTACTGTGCTATACTCGCCGAAGCAGTGGATGAGGAACTTCGGGGGAGAGCGAAGATGCACAAGATGATGACCGCGCACGAGGGTTCACCAAGGAACCTGTTTTCTCTGCCGCGTCATTTTTTTTTTTTTTGACCCAAGTCTATTCAGCAAGCAAGAAAAGAAAAGGCTTTTGGTGGAGTTTTGCAAGCAAAGGCACAACTATGATTCCACTCATTATCCCAAATGGCCTCGTGTGCCGCATTGTGGTGCTGACGTGAAATAAAGCGAGAAACGATTTCAGAAGATGGTGCATCACGAAATCCAGTTCGAATGCAAGTGATTGTCGTCTTTCTTTTCGTTACTTCGTGTGCATCAATGAACAAGCTTAGAACAATGGCAATGTTCACATTTACGTAGTACAGTACTCTGCCCATCCAGCACATGGTTTTGCTGTGGAAGCTTCTAAAATTATTCAGATTTATTTCAATTTGACACTACCTTCTCGTTTTAAGCGCAGTACAGTAGATTAGACGAGGGTCCCTGTGTAACAAAATTGCAGTATCGCGTTCTGGGATCCTTGTGTAATCAAGAAGATTTTGTTTCTCGAATTTTTTTGTCAAATGAAGAATTGGTCTCGCAGAAGTTTGGTATTCTGCTCAACGGGGACCCAAGTTACATTGACAATATTATGCTATAACTTTGTTGTAGCAAACAGGCTTAATAAGTAGAGTTGACAAGGGGAATCTTGGAATCAATTCCATCAGGTTTTCAGAGATGATCCACAGTATGATACACAAATTGATCTTTGAAAGACTCGTCCAAACTCATCCTTGTTAACACAGTGTGCCAGAAGAGGTAAGCTAGGGGAAAATTCTTGAATGGCAGAGGAAATAACCAGGTGCACTGATTCAAAATACGGTTCTGTGTTCAACTCCGATATGGTAGTTCAGCTTGAGGAAAGACCATACAACCGACCCTGCTCTCCTCGAAAATTTCTGAAACGTTGCATAGAACCCCTTCCAATTAGTCTGGGCTGTTGCGTCTAGAATCGATAACAGGAAACTGCCCCTAAATAGATAGCATCGAAATTATGCCAGGAAACTTCCCCTTCCCACATGGAGGATTGCAGCAGGAAGTGCTTCCGCTCTCAACCGCCGTTTATCGTTATTTTCTTTCTTTGTTTGCTCAACAGAGGGCAATGCACGGAAGTGGAAACTTCGATTAAAAATTTTCCGCCAATGAGAGGCGAGGAAAGGGTGGCCTGATCTTCGTGTGAGGAGATCGGTAACAGTCGATTCGTTGCGAGGAAACGAGGCGATTCTCCGTGCGACTAGGTTCTTGGCTCTTGGCTGTTTCTAAGTGACGTAATGAATGAAGGGAAGGAATCCCTCGTTTTTACTGAGTAGATACCCTGGGTGCTGTCAACGATTTAAGTACACCGTGTTATTTTAGTTTTCTTTCGGCTCCTTCAATAATTCTAGAGAACAGGGATGAATTTAAAGGAGATTCTGTAGCACGAAGAACTGGAATTATCTGAACCTTCCGTAAGTTTTCTGAGACAAATATATCCGAAGATATTGAAAACAGTAAGGAGGAAATGGTGGATGACGTTCAGTAGTTCTTGAGTATCGTCAGCTAATGTATAGGAGGGTAGAATATCCAGGGAGAGTTTTATTACTGCGACTAATGGGATGTACAGTATTTCTTTATCGGCTGTGCAGGGGTTGTGAAGTATATAGTGATTTAACTGTGCCCGCCCCTGGTGTCCAGATGTTTTTCAGAAGCGGGGAGTCTGGGACCCCTGCTCTCGTAATTGCTGTCAACTGCTGAAAACGATTTATCACGATCAGCGTGTGTAACCTGCCACCTCTGGGGTGCTGTAAAGATGTTGATAGCTCCTGAGGCGATTTGTGTTGTGGATATTTTTCCCTGAAGGAGGGATGACTCAAGGTGACTAATGATTCTCGAGGGGTTTGCTCACCCATGTGTAATATTGTCCCCACGTTAATTTTTGAAAAGCTCTCTTGTGCAGGGATTTTTCTACAAAAACGGATGTCAGGAGGGTATACGCGCGAACCTACAGTCGAAGGAAGTCAGCTCATCTCCATTTGTAATTTCTTGTGGGGATTTTTTCAGATAATCTTGGGATATATGTCCGGATGACATGTATGGTTTTTGTTACGAGAGGTCGCAAGCTTGAATGTAATTTGTGGAATCAATTTTCTGATCGATTTCTTTGGGACCCATTTTAAGCAGCAGAAAACTTGAAATGCATGCATGCTGCCGAAAGCTGAAACGTAGTTCCGCTCGACCAACTCGATTATAGACTTCTTCACTCCAGTTGTGAGAAACATCAGTTTTAAAAGTGTTTTCTGACATTTCATGGTTTCCGACCATTTCCGCCACTTCTTCGCCAGAAGTCGTTGAAGCAGGGGCAGGAAGCGCGTTGTTTTTCTCCTCCGAACAGGAAATGGACTCGGAGCAATGTTATAGCCCTCCATTGACAGGGCTATTGAGTCCCGGGAGTCGCAACAGCTGTGTCGATAGATCACCAGGTTTCAACTGTCATGTCTGTCTCAAAGCTGTTCAAAGGGTCCCATAAAAGAAATTTATGTGTGTGGACCTCCTGAGTTTATGGCTCAGGATGTTTTTGCGTTGCGACACTGAAGAGTAATTCGAATAGAAAATGGGAAGTCATTACGAAGCGAAAAAATGTTGACGCATTACATGCGTTCAACCCACGACAGTTACACTGTACTGAAGTTCAGCTGCTGGAAAAGTTCGTTCCTTGATTCAGCGGAGAAGGAGGATCTTTTCTGTAGGAGTGTTCCTTGCTCGAATCTCCAGACGTCAGAGATTTTGAGATGTATTTCCTGATGATGAAATTATGGTAAATAATCAAATGAGCGAAAATCGACCGAAGAATTACTTGTCGACAAGATCGATTGTTCGTTTTTTTCAAGTGCTATAAACTAGCTTTAGTGTACATCTTTGAATTTTGGTGTAGCACGGCAATTCGTGGGCATGGGTAATTATTATGTAACACAACCAGCAAGCATGTTCGTCCAAGAGCCCGTGTCATGTGTCCAATTGACCGAATTGCTGCAAGATTATCCGATACTGAAGTGCTTTCGCAAGCACGACTCTTCGAAACTACTGTATTCGTTTGCAACCGGAATTTTCGACCGAAGCCGGCTTTTTGAGCTATTCAATATCTTGCGAGCTGTGAGAGACATCTTCGAATTATATTACCTTCTGATCAGAGGAACAATATGAAAATCCGTTATAAGTTTACCGCACGCTGATCTCCTCTCATATGAAGTATTATGGGCACATCTAATTACTCCTTGATGTGATCCGAAGTACAGTAATGGAACGATTCACCGTGCCTTGTGTTCGAAGAAAGGATTAAACGCAACGATCCAGAATAAATGCTGTGATCGAAATTCAGTATAATTCGTCTGATTTCCATTCTATTCATTGATTCAGCTGAGAAGGAAGGTATTATTATTGCTGCCAATGTATTGTACGAAAGATACATGTGTAAGATTGAATTCTTGATATGAGAGAAAAGACTGTTCGCACTGTTATTTTGTTAATCCTGCAGCAGTGGTGTTACTAATGATTTTCTCGCTTGTGCAGTTCGGTGTTCCAAATTCCTATTTTTTTTGTATAGAATTGTGTGAAGGGGTCATAGGCTCTTCTGCTGACGGAAAATGTTGAGCGTCTTCATGAGGAGAGATGGTGATTTTGTATGGTATCTCTGCGCCCGCCATTCCACGGTAGATTTTTAGTGCACAACTGATTCTGAATAAACTAGTTTTTTTGCGGACGCGCACAGGTTTTGACGTGAACCGTAGATCGTTTGAATAGTGAAAAGTTCATCCAAGAAGTTGGAATCTTCCCAAGGCCGATAAGCGTGAATCATCGACTGACTGGAATTCTCATCCTCGTGGTTACATAAAATTAAAGAAGATATGGTATGTACCCGAGCCAGCGGCCATTTTTCGTGAAATGTAACTGTTCAGTCGTGTGTAGGCGATGATTCCTCGAAATATTTTGGAACGGGCTCGCATGGCGAACAGGAATACATTTCTCTACACGCATGATGGATTTGCGTACTGTTACGCGGATGGGTCCTGCATGGAACCAGCGAGGAACGCTGGTGTTGGGGTCTGGTTTGGACATAATCATATCGCGTAAGTGCAGAATGTTGTACTAGTTTCTTTTTCTTATTCGGATTAATCAAAGAAATGATCAATCGTTCGTTGGTTCATGGTAAGATCAGATTCTTGTTGGTTGAATCGTGCGGTATGTATTTGAAGCTTGCTAATACGTACTGTACTGCTAGCGAAACTTCGCGAATTCTTTGCCACGGTACGAACTTCGGCCTTCGAACTTACAAAATACTGCAGGTATTTGAGAGAAAGTGGCAGGATGGAATCGTCATTTTAGAGCTAGTCTGAATAATGTTGGTTTACCTGCTGCACTTATACTTTTCATTATCTGTCATCTTGCTTCCTGTTATGAATGAAAGAGATTCCTTAAACAAAATTAGATACATCGTCATGCAGCGTATGTTTTCGGAGGATTTTGTTTCTGATCCTTGCCTACTGAAGGAGCGGTATTACAAGTTACTGTTCTGATTCGTCTGAGATTTCGTATCGATGATACCTCTCGCAGTTAATTACCGAAATATCCACTTCAGATATCTATTGGGAGTTTGATATACCGGTAATCTTTAATTCCATTTAATTTAAGTACCGGAAGATAACGTTCTGATTTTCTGTCACACTTCTCAGGGAGTAATGCTTGTTTACACTACTATTGCCTTTTGATTATGGGTTAGGCCTTGAATTGATGTTCCTGTGAACGTATTCAGACGTTAGGGTCTAGTTTTATTGTTATGGACGACTTCTGATTCGGATTCCGGCGTAGCTAAAGAGCGTTAATACTGTACGGTATCATCGAATGGTTGGAAGGCTCGCTGCATGTGATTCATTCATTCTGGCAGGAATATTTCGGAGCCCTTGTCCGTACCTGGAACGAACAATCGTGCCGAACTGTTGGCTCTGCTGTATGCGATCCACGCGGCGAAGGCATCCGGTGATGAAACATTTTAGACATTCTATATCTCGTTCCACAATAAAATTATGCCAATGTTCGAAACCCAGGGTTGCAGTGTCTTGAGATCAGAAGCGATTCGAAGTACGCCATACAGTGCGTCACAGATTGGTTACCGAAGTGGAAAAATAATAACTGGCAGACATGTGCCTGTACAAGCGTCGAGAATCAAGTGGAAATCCGAGCAATCGATGAAGCGCGATCTAATATGAACGTGCGCTTCGTGAGTACAGTACATTATTCACATTTAACCGAAGAAGTTTTTGTGTGAGAGGAAGAATTCCTGAATAATAGTTCCACTGAATTGAATTTTTTATATCTGCATCAATTAACCTTCTTCTCTCTTCAATTGCTTCTTTATGTTGTAAACTGCAAATTAACTTATTCCGAAGAGGATGGATGTGGATACTTTCTTCAGTCAACTTTTTACTGGTTATTAATTTAATGAGAACACTGGATATCGTTCGTTTTACAGTTTACTATTCTTTTTATTTATTTATTGTATTTTAGAATCATGCAATTTAGCGTGGAATTTTAAATTGTATCCAAATGAGGGATTTTCGATTCGAAGGGTAAATTCTTCTCTCATTAGCCGGAATGTCACGGAAAAGGTAACTTCCCGAAAAATACTTCCCTATCACATTTTGATATCACAATTTTCTAGGAGTGGGTACCTGGTCATTCCGGCGACTTCGGAAATGGAGCTGCAGATGCGTTGGCAAAAGCTGGCGCGACTGAATCGTTGAGAATGTACCGTGGTTACTGAGATATTTCGTCATGTCTGCCTTCGTTCGAGACGGAATGAGTAATCGGTACGACACGTGCTGCAGAAACATGAATGGTCTAAGAAACTTGTTTATAATAAGAAAATTAAGAGCCGTCGGTCCTCCTGTGTTCAAGAAGTTTCGCGTCTCCGCTTCGCATTTGCAGTCCTTGTTTGGAATTTCTTTGTTACGAAATCCATGTCGTATGGAAAGTTCTTGCTCTTATATCTTCTCTATTCGGGTGTCAGTTCTACATTAGTGTACTGTATGCTGTTATTGGTTTTGTCCAAGATCATGAGGCGTGTGATCCAATATTTTCTTCGCGTACAGCTGTTCACGGTCATTGTGCATTTTTGTGAAAGGTTCGCTGCTCACGCCAACCATCGCTTTTGTTTCCGAAGTTTCTTGAAGTACAAAAATCTCCGAGTTTACTATTCATTATTATTGTACTTCGTCAATTCTGGTATAATTTGTGGACACTGTAACAGAAAACGAGAGTAAACGTGCAATTTCGTACCTCTCCTGCAATGAGGTTAAAGTCTCATAGCCCTTGGAAGAATTTTTCAAGCATTCCCGATTGTTCCAATTATGAGCCTACCTTATTGGCCCCTGAGAAGATGAACTCTTCATGTCTAGAATCAAACTGAAATGGAGCATGATATGAAAATTTCAGCGTGTAGTATCGTGTTGAGAAGGAGACCAGGGTTGGGCTGACGGAAAACGACCTGTAAGCTGTAAAATTCCCCTCCACCAACGGGAGACATGAAATTTTCTGGAACCCAGTTTTTTAAGTTTCTATGCCTACGGAGCTTGCAAGTGTCCTCAGAAGATAGGTAATTGAAGTTCGCCAAGTTTACTTTCACCAAGAGTGATTTAGCGACGAATTTCTTTTAGGAAATCACGCGAAATTCCACGAAAATAGCGTAGACTCTTCTTGAAAAATATTGCTGTCAAAATGCATATGGCATGAAAGGACATGTAGCTATGCAGCGATTTCTCCAGCTTCATTGACACTTTGCCTCAGTGCAAACTTTGAGTGCACAGATGATTCAGTTCCCTATGATCAATTGAAATCATCAAATTACAGTGCCGTACAAGGATTCATCTATGAGAACTGCTGGTGGTGGTGGAAAGAAACGCGAGGTTTTTACTGCTTGGTGCATTTAATATACAGTAGTAGCAACTTCACAACTCAATTGATGGGGCTTTTAAGTGTAGGAACGCTGAACGGAAAAAAACTGCACCCATAGGCCACAATAGTTTCTGAAGACCAATACTTCCGGAATGAAAGCCGCAGAAGAAAGGGATAAATTTGTGTGGACGAATGAGATCGTAAGAGTCTTGATTTTCTTGCTTCCGGAAAGTTCACAGTAAATCTAAGAGGAAGTTAGCGTATTGTTCTCAAAATTTCGAAAATGATACAATGAATTGGAATCTTTCTAATCATGCGAGTGTTGCGGTATACTCTCGTTCTTAAATTTAGAAGACCCAGTGGACGAGCAAGGTAGAAAATTCCGTGGTTCAAAACTGCAGAATTCGGAGAATCTCACAAAATATTGTCATGAATGGGTGTTGGGGCTAAATGCGATTGTAAAGGTTCCGATGAAAGTGGATGGCGGAAGAGCTTTTTTTTCTCTATTTGGCGGCAATCTTTTCCTTTGTGTCTGTAAGATTGAAATTTATTGACCTCCTGAAAAGGGGAGATCAGACGGACTCAGCGACATTGAGGCATCGCTCGAAACAAAAAGGGTTTACATGAGTATTGGAGTTGCCGAGATTTATGAGAGAATTGACATCTCACGGAGCGGGTTGACATTGATTAACTGTTTTGAGTCGGCGAACGTAAAGGATGCCTTCTAGTATTCTGTTTCGAAATGGCCGGATAATTGCTCACGTGTCCCGGGGAGAATAAGCAAAATTGAAGGGGTTGTTTTTCAAGGAACATGTATTGTTCTGGTGCAGCTGGTGGAAAATCGGCAACAGCTCGTCTTTCAGCAGTGAGATAGGGACAATCCGATTTTCTTCGGAAGGTGTCGGGTGAAACAATCGTCTCGGGTGATCTTAAAACTGCCGAAAGAGACACAAGAACGTGAAACAGGAAACCGTAATTCTGTTCAATTTTGTCAAAGTGGTTGCTGAGATTTGCTGTCTGTTCCCTGCTGTTTCCAGTGGTTTCAAGGTTTTTGGGTTCGCTTGTTATGCTCGAATAACGCTAAAAGTTGCCCGATTAGTGTTTTGTTTCGCCATTAAAATAGTCAGTGAACTGATAACTTCCTGATATTTGATTGAGTCAAGTACTTGCTCGACTTTTCGGGGCGTATCGCTGGTTACTTCTGTAAGCTGGCCGGAGTCAGTCACTCATTTTTTTTGGTTCAACGTGACGCTGATTTTCAGTCCTTGGTGCTGAGTGAACAACTGGAATTCTGTCGTTGACATTTTCCTTCAAATTCTTGCAACAGATACGTTACTGCAATGAGTTAAACTTGATCTCCCAAATGTATGAGATATTGAGATTAATATACTACTATATCTTAAGAGATCCTAGTTGATGCCTCATTTTTCTAAACTTTGGTTCCAAGTATTTTACGATTCATTGAAAATATGTTCGAAGGATCTCTTCGGAGTCCAAAGAAATTGCATGCCATATTCGTATCGAGACCCGATCAGTGTAGCAGAGTCTTCGGGTTCATCATTACGTTGCCACAATTCGTAATTGAAAATACTAAATTTTTATAAGAATGATAAATAAGTAATCTTCATAACAATTAATAACTGATCTTCATGAAATGCTAACAAGTTCTATGCGAAGATCGCGACGGAAATTCACGCGGTAGTGAAAGCACCCAAAGTTCGATTTTCTCCATTCCTCCCTACACGCCCAATTATCGATCTATACACGAATAATTTAATGACGATTAATTCAGCATTATAATTGAATTTCACATGAAATTCAACGCGAACATCACGGAAACACTTCTGCTAGTCTCGCACTATTTCAATGACTCGTCTTCTATACACGGAACTCATAATTTTTGCTTGGAGTAATTTTTTTTTTTCAAATGGATTGCAGCCAATTTTCTCATCAGGTATTGGATTGTTGAGAATTCAGCCATTCGAGTACATTATAGGCCTCACACTACTGTTCTTCATATTCCTCTTGGTACCCGGAAAAAACTCTCCTAGGATTAAAGTGAATCCCGTATTGTATGGAAAACTGTGGGAAAGTTATTCGGTATCACCATGCAAAATTGTTCATAATCCAGTCGAGACAGAGCAACACCGTGGCAATTTGCTAGAGGGAGATGAACCTTGTCGATTTGGTTTAAAAATGTCGCTGAAGCCGTTTGGAACCAACGAATGGCATCCAAGTGTGGGAAAGGGATGCATATTTTGAAGGACATTTCAGAACGAGTCAGTAATACATAAGGTGTTGGGTTTGCCAGAATCATTCCATTCATTGAATCCATCTTTGAACTTCGGTTTCCCTGTCTGGACTTCTTAATCGAATACAGTACGCGGAATATTACTTTGATCCGAGTGATTTTCCCCCCGAAGATATTTTCCTCCGTTCTGTGAGTGCCTCGTAATGATGCATACGTGATCGACAGCGATTAATTTTCATCATTCACGCACTTTTCCGCTTTTCGGAGACCTACGCCGATGGAGTTCACGAATGCCCTCCAGAAGTCCAAAGAATGTATTTGGTATGACGAAGAATAACTTCGAGTGATTCAGCTGTGCTTTTTTGTTGTTGGGGAAAGCACATAAAACTAAGAACAACGAAGAAGATTCTTGAAAATATTGCTGTTTATACTCACACATGGAATGAAAGACCTCATGTATATTTTTCTCATTTTCATTGACAGTTTACCTTAGTGCACAATTTTCAGATGCGCAAATTATGAAGTGGGCTATGGCAATTGATCGGCTATGGAAATCATGATATTACAATCCAAGCATCATTCCAAACGCGAAGATCTGGTTTCACAGAAATAGGTCAGAATTTTCTGAGCTTTCTCCCACGAAGTTCACAGTTGGGAAATGGCATTGAGCAAAAGGCATTCTGGCCCCCTAGCTCATCAGAATAAAGCTCTTTTGAGTTGCATGACGATACTTCAACCTATTTTGCCTGCCGATCAATCAGCAATCCAGGATTAATATTTTTGCCGAATCGCCAACTTGATGAGGTGGTGAGACGGGGATCCGAGCTTATACTGTGCCGTGTTGTGCTACTTCGTACAGTACTTGTGATGATCATTATATCCAGTATAGGATGGAAACGTTTCCATCCTGGAACGTTCTTTGGCTTTTTTGTTTGCGCTTTCTAAGTTCGCTCAAGAACATGGGAAGTAGTGTAATTTTTTATTTTTGTTGCGCAACCGCATCCGCGAATCTGAAAATGGCTAAAGGTTCTTATTTTTCTGCTTCCATTGAAGTTTCGTGTGGAGAGTGTAGGGCTATATAGGCCACGCGCGCTTCCGGCGCACAGCATCCTCGACTTCTTATTTCAGGCCAATCAGGAGGCTTTGGCTGACTCAATCAGGAGGTATATAGAGCTGGCCGTAGTACGCGCTGGAGTCAGTCTGCACACGGCTATGGACCAGCGAAGGCCTATTGCGTCGAGTGGATAGATTTACTATGTCGAATTCCTGGCTAGTGTATAGGCGCTGTAAGATATTGGTTCGATTCCTGCGCAGTGCGGCGTCCGTCCTGGTAATTACTCACGCCTCCAGCTGCGGGAGACTCGTCGCTGTGTTGAACAGTTGTGCCTTGTGGGGGTATGACGTTGGTGTCCATCACCGGACACACATGATTCGGTTTTATAACGATAGATGTTGTGAGGAATGTTAGGTTTTGATGCTTTTTACGCGATGGAGGACTTCGCTGTTGCTGGTTATTGACCATGCGGGATAGTGAAGCAGGAATTGGTTGCGTGAACCATGGTTGAAGTGTGTCCTGAGTATCGTGTACGGGAATTCATGTGAACTCTTTTAGGCGTATTACTCAGAATCGAAGTTGTGCGGATTGGCACGAATTTCTAAACTTTTTTCGAAGGGGCACTCTTCCTACTACTCCAGGGAGGTGTTTGTGATTGGCTCAGCGGCTGACAGACTTACCTTAAGTTTTATAATTGTTTTGTTTCCCACGCGTCCAGGGTTTTGCGTGAACGCGACGTGGCTTGCTTGTAAAACTAAAGAGCTAACTTCCGAAGTGAGCCATTTTCAGAAGGTCATAGCACGTGTGACGTCGACGGTCAGGTAATCTGCTCAGTCTCCTGCGCATCAATCGACAAGGATATGGTATGCTATTTCAAGGAAGTACGGCAGGGTTTCGTCTTGTTTCATGAAACGACTCTTTCCATGTAGGCCCTGCTGATACCCCCCCCGCGAGTTCTGGAAGGTGCTCGTAGAGCAAGGTCAAATATGGATTCATTTTTC